ATGACGGCTGATAGAGATGTATGGAAGAGCAGCACATACTGTGCCGACCCTCCATAAGGGATAAGGGCAAGTGGATGATGATGATGATGACGTTTCAGTTTTCGAGCCCCCTGATGACTTGATGACAAAGGTATGTTCCACAAAAAGTTGTAGGTTAACAATCCAAAACTATGGTTTCAATGTGAATTTAATCTATTAAAGAGTTTTCGACATATATGGACAAATGTTAAACAATATCCGCAGTTTAAAGCCCTCTAGCGCCTAAACGAAGCATCTTTGGATAAAGGTAAGTTGGATTAAATCGTCATATTTTCAACCAAGGAGTCTGTAGTACTCCTTTGTACACGTCTTTCCCGGACATCGTGTATAAAATGCACCTATATAAGTCCAGCAAGGCGCCTGCACCTCTCCTGGTGTTGACGATGTCCTTGGAATCTTGATGTTCGTTTGTTCCTTTCTATGTAAAAAAAATACACGCTACTAAATAGCATTCTAAATTTGAAAATATAAAGATACTAACCTTTGCCCGCGGCTTTGATTGCGTGCGATTTGAAAAAAGTAACAATTGTATGTGTTCTTAGAGATTATAATCATTCTCTGTGATAAATTTACGTTCTGGAGATACCTTTTAACAAACATCCGTGTAAAAAATATCCGATTTATAATATTAATAAGATTGGTTTGTCTTAACTATATAGCTATAATGCTGTGATGTATTGAGCAGGTACTGCACATATGATGTGACCAATGTGTACAAATCGAACACTTAACCTACTCAAGTGTGGTCACTTGATTTCTAATTGCGACGTTCGTCCAAATATGTGATACTCTACAGTTAAGGAAGCTATTATGAAGCGATATTATTTATAATCTAAGCCAGTGATTGTAGTCGTTAACAGTACGAAAAAAAAGTCCAGTCCGTCTTATTCAAGCACTATTTTGTTTCCGGAATAATATTTTTTTCTTTAGAGCCTGTAATTCAACGATGATGCGATATCCACACGTAGTTGTGGATTACAAAAACTCTAGTACAAAACATTTCAATTAAAATACTATTCTTCCAAACAGCGACTGAACTGTATATCTTACAAAACTATGATCAGTATGGATATAGGTGACAAGATAAACTCTCCCGAAGTCAACGTACTCGCTGCTCGGTTACGGTATCCCTAATTCCATCCAATTGAATAATAATGTAGTTTCGAAATAAAGTAGTTCCCGTTGACGTAAGTGCATCGATTTCATTTTTAAATTAAAACAATTCGTCAAAATGCGTAAACGTACGATTACGCCAATGCCAAGTTGATCGATGTAGTGTTACGCAGGTCAAGGGTTAATTTCGTTCACGTTGTATAATATTTGTATTAATTAGTGTAAAATTTTCTGTTTTTAAACAGTATTGAAATCGTTTCAATAAAATAGTCACAGGTAGTGTAAAATTACGAATTAAATTCCAAGATTTCCAACTACTTACTTATAGTAGAAGTCCGAAATATTGTGTGATTTACTATCCCACCTATTTGGAAAATCTTAAAATTTACTTATATTTAAATGATTTAAATACGTAAATCTTGAAAGTAAAGTGCCTATCATTAAAATACTGTAAGTTTCGATAATTTGTGACTTTTAAAAGTCAAACTTGTATGAAACGCTCCATCTGTAGGTACCACATCTATCTATGAGTACAATTCTTGAAAGTTATCAACAAAGTGAGCAAAATACGGTCCAACTAAAGATCTTTAATACAAAAATCATTAGACTGATTATTCAAATTGTTAATGACATTGCTATAACTAATTGTTATCTCAATTTTGATAATGTGGCAAAATATTAGATAGGTAATTGTTTAGATTACACGGTGTCATGCTTATGTCGAAGTTCTGCACTAATGCATATTGTCATCCCACTCATTACCTTTGAACAAAGAAAGATAACGATATATTTTTTTATACACGTGTTAAGTAACGAAGTCTATTAAAATGTAGTAATTTTATATCATCTTACGAAAAGCATGACTTGTAATGACTAGTCAAAATAATATAGCGTTTGTTATCGTTCACTGAAGTTACACGTAGTTGAAAAAATATGTATTGTATAGATATCTCGCTTAAATGTGACAAATGCTTTGTTCAAACGTAGAATTCTAGTACGATCTGAGCCTAGCAAGCTGATTGAAAGAAAGCAGACGTAGAATTATCTACAGTCAGGGGAAAAAAGTTGAAACGAATGGAAAAAGTACATTATCCTCAGTCTGTTCTACTCATCCTTCCATAAGGCATTTGCTAGCAACTGTGCACTGCAAGTGGTTTTTAGCAACGTCAATTTAATATTTTTTGATATTTTGTGTTTTTAAGCTTACTCATTTTGCATTATCTTAAATTGAAGCCCTCATATCAAATCCATGATCTCGCTGAAATGTGCTGATTTTACAAGATATCATTGTTTATTTGAAAAGCAGAAAAAACTCCGTTTTGATCTTTCTCGGTTCAAAGTTCTCGGCTCGGAACTCGGTTTTTTATGCCGTCGAGTTCTGAACTAAAACTTTGCTTTGTATGCATTTCAATATGCATTTTTTGCTGCGGATCAGAACGGTAACCCTAGCTTAGGGTCGTCAACCTTTGTCGGGAACATCGACCTCAATTTTATGCTCGATTTGAAATTCTGCGCTAGCGGTTGTCGATCACAGAATATTTCCTACTGGATGAGTGGCGTCCGTCTAAAATATTAACATCACGACAGATCATTTATTCCTGTCGTCAATTCGAGCAAGCATTACTGAGTTTCGTTCCGGAGGGCGACAAATGTTCAGCATAACTAAATGATTGCTCTAATCAGATAGTATAAGTAAGTCTCGAGTTTATGGCGTGTACACGATCAAGCGTCTTTTTTAACCTTCTGAGTACTGTTTTATCCTGAGTAACCTTCTAGTGAAAGTTCAGTTAGACCTCGGTAACAAAAAAATCACCACTAAGCTATGGCAGAAAAAAATTGTTTTGACTTTTATACCATAATTAATAGACAGAAAACGATGCAAAGAATCGTTTTTCTAGGAATATTTTTTACGTTAAACTGAAAGTAAATAAAAATACGTAATAAATTTGCCAATTCAATGGTCCCAAGCTCCCTAATCGCGACGACGAAATTAAAGGTTGTTGAAATTAATCTTAATCCGTGCTAAGTTATCTTGTAACAAATAAAAGTGTTACATCATACCGATTTAGAATTACTGACTGGAAAGAAAAACATTTGTCTTAGAATTGCAAATGAAATGGCGACATATAGGTCACTTTTGTATTGACAAGTTATTTTCGTGCTAAGCAAATAAGAAACTTATGGTCTACATGTTATGTTGTATACCTATTGTTATATTACGTATTTAAAACTGCCCGTGGGTCATGGATAGTACTACCGTTGATATGGTGTCATTATTAGGTACCAGTTACCAGACAGCAGTTTGCACGCAAAACATTCTGCAGGGTATACATTCGGCTATGTTCGGATCTGCTCGGCTACTGGACTGAATACGCTAAAGTATCACTGCTCTTTGCGCTCATTCATATGATTATCATTTATGTCTACCAGTGATACCTTCTTTCCGCTATTTTTCCTATTAATAGGGAAATTTTTAATTGTAAAGTTGAAATATGTTAGAAAAAGTATAGAATTTATTTGCACTAGTAAATTCGAAATTTCGAAATGACTAGCGCTGAAAAGCAGAATTGTCGTAGTAATTTGTACGATTTTATGAAATAGCGATGAATAAAATAAATTGACTTAGTCATAATAATTATTGATTGTGCCCAAATTATTTTCTTTTTAAATAATGCCATTCTTTAAACCACAAAAGGGGGAAAACAACTGTTGTGCTTTATGAGATCATCCGACAATTATCTATTTTATGGAATTTTAATTCTAATTGATAAATATAGCTAGATTTGTTGATAGCCAAATCAAATCAACAAGCCTACTCGTATAATAGTTCAGATAATAGGTATATCACAATCCAGAAAACGGCAACACTTTGCGATCAATTCATCAGTGTGAATTTAACAGTAGGCCGCGCATGACGTCTTTCAAGCAAATGTGCCACGGTAACTCTCGTCGCGTATTTCTTTTTAAATCTTTGTGACCTTGTATAACCGCTTAAGTGAATAATTAGCTCAAAGGTACCGTGGACAAAATAACAAAATGTCGGAAAACGCACATGATATATTAAAAGAAGCAGCTGCGACTGCCGCGGTTACTGGATCGCTATTTAGCACATTTGACATTATTATGCTGATTCTCTTATTGGGGGCAGCTGTTTGGTGGTTATATAGTTCCAAGAAAGACAATAAGAAGGACGAAATTCTACTTAGTAAATATTCAATACAGTAAGTTTTGTACATACTTTGTATTACCTCTATAAAATACAGAATATGTTAAATGTTAACAGGTTATGTTACATTGCTTTTAAGAATTATTGAGTGTTTTGTACAAAGGAAAGTTTTCCTATGTGGTCTAGATCAGAAGTTCTTTTGATTAAAGAATAGAATTAGTATGTTAAATCATAGAAACTCGTTTTCTGCTCATTGGTTTTTATTATACGTAATAAGCCCCTGTTAAGTTTCGGTACTTCGTAGAAATTATGTATAATTTTGATTACTCAATAATACACAAATAGCAACAAGTAAACTCGTTGCTAATTGGAATTTGTTTGTCATTATATTATTGCATTGTGATGCAATTTTGTTTTATTTGCAAACGGTCGACCTGACGTTCGTGTATTTGTACATAATGTCGCGAAATACATAACATACGTATATAGGTACATGACGTTAGCTGCAATTAGCCCTCAAGTGTAATTTATCATTTAATTACTAAATACTGTTAAAATCGGAATGTATTTGATATGCAAACATTGTCATGGAAGTAGCTAACTTACACATAGATTTTGCATTTACACAGATTAAAAATCCTTTGATGGAAAAACCCACAGTTAAAAACAAATATGTAATATATTATTTCTACATTTTTTTATCGTTTGGATTAGTTGTAGGATATTATAGATATGATATTACTATGACGCAAGTAAATCTTTGTCTGATTGGTTTTGTTAATTAAAAAAAGCGTTTATGATATATGTAACCAGCTTGCGCCCGCTACTCCGCTCGTATGGATTAAAAAAAATCAAAAGTAAATAAATAGCCTACGTGTTCTTCCAGACTATCCTCTACATCTATACCAAATTTCACTGGGATCCGTGTACCCGTTTAGGCTACAAACTCTCAAATATCCATCCGTATATCCGTTAAGTATGATATCCCGTCACAAAAGTTTGGACTCACTGCTACCTAATAAGTTATAAGAGGCAGAGTTTAATTTAAGGGAACAAGACAGTTTTTCTATAAGTGCAATACTGCGAATTTCCGCGACTGTACATGAGAGCATAGTATATTGTTGAAAAAAATTAGTTACCCCTTAGTTTGATACATTTTAGGACCGAATAATTAAAATTATTTAATTATGACATTGGGTACAAAAGAAACAAAGCATATCAAAGTGATAACCTTGTAATATCGAAGTAATCATTATTATCTTTCCAATGTATTTTAAATACATTATATATTGTATATCGGCGCCACGTAGCATAGGTATTTACTATAAAGCAACCTACTGGGAAATCAATTCCGCACTTTAGCGATTAGGATTATGATAGGTACGTTTTGAATATCAATCAATATTAAAATAAACATTCAGATAGGTATATTGAAACAAATAATTTGTGTCACTTAAAATCGCGCGTGCGCTTGACTACGCGATTAATAAATTAATCGCGTAGTCAAGCGCACCCATGAGAGTTTCCCGTCGGGCCGATCGGCCCACCGATTGCTTTTATGGATTCGATCAGGAAACACCAAAAAGTAAAAAAAAAATAGTTTTCATTTTACTAAAGATAAAGTTCTATATATTTATCATCTCCCTTTACATGATTTAATATGATTATATAAGTTATTTAAACTATTAGATTTTTAAAATTGTACATTGAAGGTCATTTTTTTTACATTATAAATATTCGCTCAGGTACTACTTCATTAATTAATGGAATTTTATTGTCAGTATATCTTGACCTTCTCACGTCTTTGCTGCATATATCGGAGGTTAAGTTGTAAAAAATCTCTTCAAAACTAAAAAAAGTATATTTACATTTTGTTCAAATAAAGTAACAGACTCGGTCTCGCAAACTGTTCGATTTATAGTGGTTTTAAAAAAAAGTTTGTCATTAATGTCTAAAATACAAAGTGTTCCATATTTTATGGGCTTTAAGGATAATTTTAACGAACGATTTAGATGCAAATAACAGATTTGTTTTTTTTTACGATATGTTTTAATTTATAAAAACAATGTACAAAAAGGAAAAGTTTAAATGGGGTAGGAGGTATAGGTCTCTTATCTGGGGAAATTCAGAAACAAATGCATACATATTACTGTTTCACGTCCATATTGGGAGTCTACGGGATTCCCCAATCGAGACAGTATAATAATGAATCAGCTATTAAAGAGAAGTAAACATTAAATAAGGTAGTCAAAAAGACATCGAAGTGGATGTTTTTAAAAAAGCTTTTTTCTCCGTCGATTTTATAAGCGATATTCATCCACATTGAAGAGACAATAAGGATAACTCTACATTCCTCAAATGGATGTTCGTGTTTTTAATATTGCTGTTATTTAAAAAACTTTTTTTTCAACAAAAGCAGTAGAATCCTATTAAGAAATTAAACGTCCGCGTTTAAAACGAGAGATTTTTTTACCTGTATGCTATATGACACAAATCAAGGCCTAGCGGAATTACTTACGGATAACGGTTTCCGTTCTTATACTGTTATATTATGTTGATCGGCATACATTTTGTATAATTTTAAGGGACGAACTTTGTAAAATGAACTTGAAACTGTTTTTGTTTGAATAACTTAAAGATCTTTTTATTATTTCACTGCAATTGCAATAACAACAAGAATAGTGCAATAAAAAGTTATAAAAAACATAATTATACCATTTTTGATGATTGAAAAATCGACAAACCCGCGACCAGCTCATTCATACGTACGTTCCCAGTCCGACAAACAAACCGTTTTGAAACTGCCAATATCGTTTTTCCACGAATTCGTACTGTCGCAACTTTCACGTAAAAAATGTACCTACCTTTTATTATATCACTCAAAGTTTTTTAAAAAAACTGAATTGATATTATAATAAAAAAAACATACAGACGATTGATTACTTCCTTCTTTTGGGAAGTCGGTCAAAAAGGAAAGATTTGTATTTTGCATGTATTGTAATAACCTAAAAAAATACCCATTTTAATAATTCTTGCACCCTCGAAAGGCTACGTAACTACTGAGTATTATATACTATATCTTTTAGTTCCACGCGGACGTAGTCATAAACAACAGCTAGTTTACTACACGGTTCAATTTTCTGCAACAAAATTTAATACTTATTGTTTTCTTTACAGTATACATATTGTCGTAAGAGTGGAACTAACAGGTGGTATTCACCTGTAGTGCATAATGTTTACAGTGTATTATGCTGACTGACAAGTGAAAATGTTATTGCACGTTTTCATAAATTAAATACATAATCAGCTGTTCATACCAATCACTGTCATTTACAAAAAAACTACCTTGGTTGTTACTATGTACTTAATAAGTTAATCTTATAATGTAATAGTTAGTTCTTTTTGCTTTCAAAAATACTAATTTTAAAGTCCTTATTTTAACAATGGCGGCGAAATAATAGATACATCGACACCTCGATAATAACTTTTAAATTAACAATTAAAATAAACATCAAAGGTTTTTTTCTATAAGACATACTTATTAAATTAAAGTTTATGAAAGCAATATTTGCTTCATAGACACTTCATAAGCACGGTTTTTGTTTTAAATACCCTGTGGAAATCTGTTAAGGAAGTGATTACTAGATATTTCTTCAAGATCACTATCACGCAAACGTTTGTAAACGTAGCCTTGTCACTGCGTGTATACTTAATAATAGAGTATTCCCAACCGTCACCCCGCTCTGTCCCTGCGTGAGAATAAAATTTTTCATCCGTCCCACCTTTTAGTCTCACTATCACCAATAAGGTGACAGATAAAACAGGTGTGAAATAAAATAAGTTCCAACCGTGCCCTCATCGCAAAAGGTGGGACAGATGAACCTTTTTATCCTCATCTGTCCTCGTGTGGGGACAGAGCGGGATGACAGTTGGGAATAATCCTTAATAATGATGTGTAGATTTACACATTAGAAATCCACTGCAGGACTACGGTGAAGAAACTGTAGTCCAAAAGCGGTTTTCGCACTACGCTAACCCGTTTTTGGCCTATTATTATAATCGGATACGTACGTACGTCATACTTCGAGTATTATTCCGCTTCTATTAATGTAACTATTTTTCTAAGAACTTCCTCCCCAACTATGAATCTATACTATTATTCATTATGCGCTTCAGATTGATAATATAAATATTTTTGTTTCATTGCCCGTAAATGTTGCGCGTCCTAACTGTTACGGATGGTTGTGATGTAACTGTTGTTTATAATATTAGTTTTTGTAATGTTTCAATTACCTCTAATTTAGACAAAACAATAATCTTGTCTAAGAAGTTAAAAACAGATCTTTAGTACATAACAACATTTTTTTTTAGCATAGTCACTACTATACAATTATTTAAAGCATTTCGTCGCAATAGTAGAAGTCACGTAACGACTGATAAAAATAATATTTTGTTAACCTTGCTTTGTCATTACAACTTCCTTGATAATGATTATAAATATTTATATCCATTATAATAAGTAAATAATGCAAAAATTAAGACTATGCAATTTATACCATAAGGTAACAAACTTGCAAGAGGTCGCCTATAATCGCAGAAAAAGCGAGGCGACCGCTGTATAGACATCCACTATTGTAGATGCGTTGCCACCTTTAAATGACGGAGAGGACACGCATAAAGAGGATTATTCCCCTTCCCATCCTTCCCTTGTAAGAAAAGGTGGGAAGGGGAATAAAATTATCGAGTTGTCGAATTGCTTCCAATTCCCGCCTGTCTTCTCTGTTGGTTTTGATACTTTCAGAGTGAACCGACCCATTCGTGCAACTGAAGTTCTTGCTGGCGTCTATCACATTTATATTTACTGCAATCATCAACATTTTATTACCTTTTTCCACACAAAACTACGAGCGTATATATAATATAGTATTGTTGATTGAAGGTAAGAACGGTCGAAACTGTATGTACTATATACTATATCTCCATTAATAGTCATTTTGATCAGATTTTCTGCCCACTGCTGAATATAGGCTCCCCAATGCCTTCCACAGTATACGGACCTACGCCTTCCGCATCCAACCTCTTCCTGCCATGCGTACTAAATCGACATTGATAAGGATAAAGGCAAATTATTATAACTTTATATTTGAATGTTATCACAAGTCTGGTTGAATATAATCGTTTCACTATCTATATGCTAATGGCTAGAGATGATAGCGATAATGGCCTTGTTGAACTACACAATTTACTAGACACGTTTCAACATACTACGTTACATTTAAAATCAAATAAATTTTATTTCATGCGGATGGAGTCGCGGGCTAAAGCTAGTAGAGTTATAAAGATATACAACTGTGTATAAATTTTGTGATTCGCATTGTAACGATCTTGTTATCTTTTTTCTATAGAATCCTTTAACTTGTACATTTTGCAAACAGTAATAAAACTTACAAGTTACTTGACAAGTATTATGTAACCTTTACATTTGCCGTAGGTTTTGAATTTATTGTTAGTACAGGTATTTCAGCAGTGAACTGGAAACTCACGGTAACTAATTTAATACGCTTTACTAGCTATATCTACAATTCTGTCATTCATGATGCAAGAAAAATCAAGACACTGTATTTACATTAATAACAAACTTGCATTGTAAACCAGTTATATTGTACTGTGACGTAGACAACGGCCATCACTACTTCCAACGTTGTAAAACATTTTCAAGAATATTACGCGAAACTGTTTTCCGTGTCGTTTGAATAAGGCCGGCGCGTGGCCTTATACCAACAAGTGAGAATATTTAATTGTTGAACTCTGTTTACTTACATTTTGCCCTTTGATATTTGCGTATTTCAATAAATAAATAATGTTCTATTAATCAGTGACTTCATTTTCTGTTTTTGTGAAGGAAACTCATTTTGTCACCGTTGAGCCGTTTTTGTGATCGCCAACAACAACAACAACTCGATAAAATTCTAGGCTTGGACTAGAGTGAGGTAGCTGTTATGGCCGTATTGGAAGTAGTTTTAATTGATTATTGATTTTTCGATGCTAGCATGTAACTTCTAACATCTTCCACAATCTCCCTCATATCCATCAAATCACTAATTACGGCTCGTAGTGTATATGTTACAGCCTACGCTAAAGCGACTGCTGAAGTATATACTTGCAATAAGTTCTAAATGTGGCAGTTAAATAACTACATATTACGTGAAGCAGTTATTGTACATGTGCAGAAGTGTACTAAAAATAAAAAAAAGGCTCTGATTATATGTTCGGGTCGAATTTCGACCAATAGATTATCAAATACAAAACAAATCTTTTGCTCGTCAGAAACATTGTCACGTTTTAGATAATTTCCTGGAATATCATCCCAAAATAATGATTGACAGGATTTCTGATAAACTTTTACGATCCCGTTGTTATTCCGGTCTTATCTAAAGTATTATTTTGTCAGCTTATCATTAGAACATAGCGTTAGTTATAAGTGATAATTATTTAACGCGTATGATCTCTTACCAACATCTGTTACTTTCAGATGATAACGAAACTTTTTTAAGTAAAAAGGGCGAATATGTTATGTATCGTATCATATATTTAGAAGTATATATGTGAGGCATTAGTAACTGCAAAATCCATGTAAAGGTGTTAATGTGCCTTTTCCTGTATTACTGGTAAACCCAGAAAGTATGGCGTATTTGTTTTTTTTTCACAATCGGACCATAAAGGATAAAATAAGCATTCTGCCAAAAATGAAGTACATTTAATCATTTATTTGGTCATTATATGATACAAACATGCTGAATTAATTCTATTTCTACTGCCAAGACACTGTTATATCCTGTCAAATCTTTCTATCTGAAAAAAACAATGACGATAATATTTTTGTAAGAGCTATTTCAAAATCAACACAGGCAATGGACTGTAAAATTAATAATTAATTATGATGGTTTACCTCTATTTATAAATAAAGTTTTTATATCATGGTTTTGATAGACGACGATGTTATTGGTAAAACATAATGGCATTATAATTAAATTAATTGTATTGACAATTAAACCAACCGAAACACATTTAAATGTGCGTGGCTCGAACACGTTACCTATAATTCTTATTACCAAGTAGAAATGTTACAATGACGCTACGTCAGCAATACAATCGTCCAAACTCTGCTGACATTTAATATATGACATGAGGCATAAGAACCCACACTATTTCATAACTATGATAATAAAACGTGGCATATTTTTAGTATAACGTTAAAGTTTCTAAGTTAGTTGTTATTCTAATTCAATCAATAACATACTTTATAATATTCTTTGATAAGAGTAAATAGGCCATTTTCAATTAAGTTTAATTTATGATAATACTCGATGTTCCCACGTTCTCAATCGCTGTAAAAAGAAAACTAATTACTACTCATTTTTTAGTGATCACAATATAAATACGGCCTCATCTGGTAATCCGCTGAACCATCTGACTGGAAGCTAAAATGTTTAATCCAAAAGTAAAAAAATGAGGTCGTCCTACGTCGCAATTATGTAGGTTAAGTATGGCGGTGTAGAATAAAACCGTTATCACGAAGGTTCGGTGCATTGACCAACCTACGAGCTCGTATTTATTAACTCTGTTTATCTTGTCTTGAGAAGTCAGCTAGTCACAACGCTGTTTGTGCATTCAGCATAACAGTTAGCTGGCACATTTATTAATGTACAGTAGAGTTCATTGCTGGTGTTCTGCCTTTAAAGCTACTTTCGTCGACGAAGTATTTTTTTAAATGTGTAACGACGACTTGATGTAGGACTCAATAACGTATTTAATATTATGGTCAAGGAACAACACGTTGCATACAAATATCAGTCGTTATTTTTATTATCAAAATCTTAGTTATTTGTAAGGAAGATGCGGAGTGCAGTTCGTTTCAAGAAACGAGCAATTTTTCTATAAATGGTACAGCGCTAGCAGAGACCACTGTTAAATAATTCATTTCGTACCTACGTTTTGAATCGTAAAGTTATTTGTGTTCGTGTCTGATTTTAAATGAATCACGTATATTCGAATACTTTGTTAGTTTTAATTTGTGAATCCAAACAAGAACAGACAAAAATCTGAATAGTTTTTATATATACTATGTACAATGTAATCGCGCATATACATTTAAAAAGGTCAACTTGTAGATGTACGTGTGAGCGCTTTTTTAAAAGTACGTACGTATATATCTATTTGAAAAAATATTTTTCGGATTTCGAATAATCCTTTCAATTAAATATACATTAAAATATAAATGTAACGAAAATAGGAATCCGTTATCTTTTTATAGTCATTATTTACAATGCTTACCAATATTTTAAAATTTTGTTGAAATTAGTATACACATCCTTACATAAATATATGGTTATTGTATTATCTGTGATGATTATAAAGGTGAAGGTTACTAGACTCTCAGGGGTATTCGAGCTCGAAATAATGAAATCTGATTTTTTTGTTATTACAAGAGACTTCGTTGCGAAGTAGCTCGATTGCCCCGTAATGTGATAAGCATTATCATTTTTTTATTCAAACATATTTATATCTGCAGACAGGCAATATAAAAAAAATCCAACAAAACATACCTGTTACTTATTTCTAATGTTATTGTGTAAATTTTGTGTTGTAAATATAAACCAAAAGCAATTTAAAAAGACGAAGGCAGAAAGGAAAGAAAAATAAATTCGCAGACTACACTGGCATTGATATCTCGACCCTCGCCATCTTGAAATAACTAAAACACTTAATCAGTATGAGATTACAGTAATGTGCTATAACAAATACGAATACTTATTACCTAATAGTAACGGTTTATTTTAATAATTAATTATAATAACGAGGGCCTTGAAATAAACGCTTCGTAACGTTTACACGTAGTTTATACATGCTAAATAACGTTCGTTTGGACTTTAATCTTCTTATAATCTTGTTCGTCGAGTCATTGTTAGTTGCAATTTTGGATTTATTGTACAAATTCTAATTAAGCCCTCATATTATTCTTTGTTTCAAAGTCAGCAAAATACAATATCAGCAATTTTATCACAGCTTATCGAAGCTGATTTGCATATATTTTTCACCGATAACTTTGTCGTATGTTTTAATTTGTTAAAAAACTAAACTTCAGATTTGAAATGAGAGAACGAGATGGCAATATTCTGTGTTACAACAGTTGAAACTCACTGTTAAAGACATTTTACATGACTTGCGAATGTTATGAATCTCAACAATCGCAATATCGAATTAATCAGTCTAGTATATTCTTGTCGTATGGTGATATTATCACTGTGTCATCATGAATTGTAAAGTTCAGATATCTTTATTAGCTTGTGGCCAATAATAGTATACGTGTTGCAATATCATTGAGGTATAAATTGTTACATAACTATGTACATTAAATACTAAAATATATTAATTATGCAAAGAATAAATCGAAGTAAAGATTTAATAATTTGGAATGGTCCATTCAAAATACTATTTATCACTGGTTCGAAAAAATCAGTAAAGGCAAAGATTGCTTTAACTGGCCCACAAATATCACTCTCATGTAGACTTTTGTGGTCAAATGTAGATCATATTAGGATCTACAAAAGTTTCAATAGGTCAGTATACAATACAACCAAGATCGCATCATCTGATTAACCTTGCGAAAACGAGTTGTTATGCGCGAGTTAAAACTTAGACTGTAGCAGTTAAAAGTTTAGCAAGTTGACTGACTATTATTAAAAGAAGTATTTCCATAAATTGATTCACTTCTATTGGTTTCTAGAAATAAAAAAAAATGTAGATATTGAAATTTGTTAACCATGAGAACTTAGTGAATTTATTTCTATATTTCTTTACAGACCAGCTGCTTCTTTACAAATAGTAGAGAATTCGTTCATAAAAAAACTGCAATCTTCGGGACGAAGTCTCGTTGTATTCTATGGGTCCCAAACTGGTACCGGAGAGGAATTTGCCGGTCGGCTTGCTAAAGAGGGCGCCCGGTACAAAATGAAGGGCATGGTCGCTGACCCCGAAGAATGTCAAATGGTACGTGAAACTAAGTAATGAAATTCATTTAAATTATTTACATATAATACAACATATTCTTACATAATCTGTAGGAAGAACTTACGAAGTTACCGGAAATACCCAATTCGTTGGCTGTCTTCTGCATGGCGACATACGGTGAAGGCGATCCAACCGACAATGCTATGGAATTCTTCGATTGGCTGAAAAACGAAGATCCGAATCTAGAAGGGCTTAACTTCGCGGTATGTATCTCAATAACTTCACATCCTTGTGTCGTAAATTACCTATAAAATGGCCTAATTGCTTAGTTTTAATATTTTTTTTATTACTTTATTTAATAACGACAATATATCATCTTATACTTAAGTTTTCTTATAAAATAATTCATGGCAATCAAGGTATGAACGATTCTTAGCAAAAACTGTGCGTCGTAATTTTCATTTAAAGGTCGACAAATCATCAAGTCGTCCGATCCATTTATCGCCAGAGGTTATTTCAATCAACGCAACAGGTCAACCCCATGGCCTTCATTTGGTTGCTTTTTAATCGTAAATATTATCGTTTCTGTTGAAATTATAAAAAAAAAACATAAACTATGCTATAAAGTTTTAATAACATTTAAAAAATCATATAATTATACAGTTAATTTATAAGATTGAACGGTCATGTTTAAGCTATTTGGTCAATATTTCGTTATTTATTTTATCAATTGATAAATTATAAAGAAATGAAAACTTTACATCACACTAGTGTCTGTACTTTGAAAAGTACATGTAGCAGTGTCGTCGTTAGGTAATTTTATAGGCACACGCGTAATTGTTATCTTAAAGATAAAACAAACACTTGCGTGATAATAACGGCGGATGTGTAATGTAATGTGAATCAGATTTGAATTGATTGCTATTTCTAGAAATGTTTTACCGTATTTCTATTCAGAGCAGTAAACATGAAAAACTTATAAGATATTTAGCTACCCTTATTTTAAAATATCGAATCTCAGTTTTCAATAAAATAACTACCTGAGTAAGAATAGTAGCTTAATGCACATCTTAAAATATATTTTTTATTTCGTAATCGTCTTCGTAAACAGTATTTAATCTTTGACGTTTCCAATGATTTCATTCTCTATGGTTGGACTTTGACATTAATTGTCAATCTTTGATAACGAATGTGACAGATCATTGGTGACATTTTCAAATATAAAGTCGGTCTGATATAAATATTCGATTAAAAAAGTAAAGGAATTAAAATAGGGACACATTTTTATGATATGTGTAATACTAGAAAATGTGTATAAATAAGTTGCTAATTCAGTGTGTTTATCAGTGAACCAAGGTTTAGAATGTTTGTTTCCCTTTTTAATATTACTGAAAAGTTTTTACCGCGTTACATCACATATTTAATTTCGCATAAAAAGATTATATTACCATTGTTTAAACTTCGCCATTCGGTATGTAATTCTGGGAGTATTTTATGTTGTTGTGGTAAATGGAAAAGCTATTCTAACCCCAAAACTTCAGTACATTATTTTCGATTATTCAAGTACCTTCAGTTTAAAAGGCTTGGCCATAAGTCATGTGCGGACACTCAGTATAAATTGCTCGCAAAATTAATATGCTAACCAATATTTTATCAATAGTTTTGCTGAGTATTATTATTTTTTAATTAATCATATAATTTGCAGGTGTTTGGTTTAGGCAATAAGACCTACGAGCATTACAATAAAGTGGCCATATTTCTTGACAAGCGTCTGGAGGAACTTGGTGGTAACAGAGTTTTTGAACTTGGACTAGGTGATGATGATGCAAAGTAAGTATTTTAGTATGACTGTTCATTGCTTCAGTTTACTATGAAGTTTTTTTTGTATTGACCTATCTTGCCAAGGAAAAAGGTAGTCAAACACTCAGATATATATTGGATAAATTTAATGTAGGTGCATACACACTTGGCTATAATGATCCACTTCTTTATAACCTTTGATGCTTGTTTTAAAAGATTCTTAGAAAGGTGTCCCTAGATATAAAGCAAACATATGAACTTAGGTGACACCTAAACATTTGTGAAATTGGAATTCTTATTAGGGACCCCTTAAATTATGCTTAAGGGATGGTCAGTGAAAATTCTCTTGAACTTATCAATCGTAATTTATTTATGTTAATTCAATTTTGTTACAATTCTAGCATCGAAGATGACTTTATTACATGGAAAGAAAAGTTTTGGCCTGCAGTCTGTGAGAAGTTCAACATTCAGAGCACAGGGGAAGAAGAGCTGACAAGGCAGTTCCGTTTGGTGACACATGAACCAGACGAGTTTACTCCAAACCAAATATTCAAGGGTGAAATTGCTAGACTGCATTCACTACAAGTACAGAAACCGTAAGCCCCATTTAACATTTTTTTACACAAACAGTAAAAGAATGTAGTTTTAAACAACATGTTTAAATTACTCTATTTGAATTGTGTTGCTAATTAGAAATATTTACATTGCAGACCTTATGATGCTAAGAATCCCTTCTTAGCACAAATAGTAGTTAATAAAGAGATGCACAAAGGTGGTGGCAGGTCATGTCTTCATGTGGAACTTGACATTTCAAATTCAAAAATGCGATATGAAGCTGGTAAGTTAGTTGTAGTTAAGAGTTACCATATTTTTTTATGCGCAACAATTACATAGGATCAAGGCTAATGCATGTACTAGACACATGCATAAATCAATGTTAAAAGTTATCTTTAACAATTTTTTTCAATCGATATTGTTTAGAAAAATGCAATTTTGCCTTTTTTTGACCGACTTCCCAAAAGAAGGAGGTATTCAATTCGTCGATATGTTTTTTTTTCTAAAATATTTTTCATCCTAATATTTAATGCTTTGCCTTCCAGGTGACCATGTGGCAATCTACCCGATCAATGACAATGATTTAGTCAACCGTCTTGGTGATTTGACTGGTGCAAATCTTGATGATATATTCTCTTTAATCAACACTGATGAAGAGAGCAGCAAAAAGAATCCCTTCCCCTGTCCGACATCGTATCGCACGGCTTTATCTCATTACGTAGAAATCACAGCTTTGCCCCGTACTCATGTACTCAGAGAACTTGCAGAGTACTGTACTGATGAGGAGGTGTGTTATTTGACATTCAAGTACATTTTACTGAATATTTTTTTTAAGTAATTATTGGTCGAAATTTAAAACTAAACCACAAACATTTACTTTCGAGAGAAAAAAATATCTCATCATTAGTCTACTATCAACAGTAACTTAGCTTTTTCCTATTTGGCAACCCTATCTAAAATTAAGTGGTATATTTCTATAATTAAAAAAATACAAATTCAAATTTACCATTTATTATTAATTAAGAAAATGTTTCGTTTTATTTAAATAAACAAAATTTTAGGACAAGAACAAGCTGTTGCTCATGTCAACAAATTCAGCGGAAGGCAAAGCTTTGTACCAGAGTTTCGTAGTGGACGCATGCAGGAACATAGTGCACATCCTGGAAGACCTGAAATCTTGCAAGCCCACACTGGACCACGTCTGTGAACTGCTGCCTCGTCTGCAGCCGCGCTACTACTCCATATCTTCCAGCCCTAAGGTACGTCACTAAAAAGCTTTTAATTAGTCAGAACTATTGAAAAATGTTTTATACAAACAAACTAAACTTGACAACCAATGGTTAACCAACTTTCAAAAATTTCTTCAATAGTATAAAAACCTAGGCTTTGTCTTGATTCTAACTATTACAGGATCTTTTTTGTTCAGTATTGTTCTTCAAACATTAATATTTTTCTATCTCTTATATAACGATATTACAAATTAGATGCAATGTAGCAAGTTCTTATGCAACTCTTTATTATGATAATTACCAAGTTAATGGGCACTTGTATATTATCTTTCATTAACAGACAGTACAACAAAGTGCTTGTATGATTTGATTCCTGTTTAATGTTCTATTTAAAAGAAGAAAAATAATACAATAAAGCATGGTCTTTTGTTTGTATTGTAGCTGCACCCGGAGACAGTGCACATAACGGCGGTGGTGGTGGAGTACAAGACGCCGACGGGGCGCACCAACAAGGGCGTGGCCACCACCTGGCTCGCTCACCACAAGCCTGAGGAGGGCAAACCGCTCCCAAGAGTTCCTGTCTACATCAGAAAGTCTCAATTTAGGTACTAATACTTTTTTCATTATAAACCTTCATTTTTTTAACATTAGCCTTTAGTTTTCTTTTTTGCTTATAATTACGTCTGCAACTCTTGAGATATTTCGAGTCCAATTAGATATTTGGAAATGTGGATACTTGTATGTGTGTATATTTAATGAATATTTTGTCTGTTTCCAGGCTGCCGTTGCAAACTCAGACGCCGATTGTGATGGTGGGTCCGGGCACGGGGCTGGCGCCGTTCCGCGGCTTCCTGCAGGAGCGCGCGCACGCCCGCGCCAGCGGCAAGGAGGTCGGCTCCACCGTACTCTACTTTGGCTGCAGGCATCGCGACCAAGATTACATTTACCAGGAGGTAAATACCTTATTTTTTTTGTTTTAATATCATTTAGTTACAGTGAAACTCAAATTAACTATTAAATTACAGGAACTCGAAGAATATGAAAGGAACGGCGATGTTAAGTTGAATGTTGCCTTCTCACGAGACCAAGAGAAGAAAGTTTATGTGACTCATCTTCTCGAGAACAACATGGATGAACTTTGGGATATAATTGGCAACCGAAATGGCCATTTCTACATTTGCGGGTATGTAAATTATTAAAGTTTTTTTTGTTGTTTACTGTGAGTGATGATTCAATTGAATTTAATGATTGGTTGTTTTTACAACAGTGACGCTAAGTACATGGCTGTGGACGTGCGCAACATCGTGCTGCGAGCGATCCAGCAGAAGGGAGGCCGCTCCGAGGCGGAGGCGATTCAGTTCTTGAAGAAACTTGAGTCTATGAAGAAATATTCGTCTGATGTATGGAGTTAGATTCAGGCTACATGTTAGTTTAATTTATCTACTTAAGGACATTATCCAAATAATACATATTAGAATATGTAGAATATGACAGCTTCAAGCAGTAATTGTATTGAAATGACTACTTTTTCAAAGTAAGATTTATATATTTTTTTAATGTTTTAATTGTACAAATATGCTGTTAAAATAAATTTTATAAAATGACGTACAAAAAACGATAACATATTTTTTATTAAAATTGACATGAAGTGAAATTTATCATTATAAATATAATTAATATATTGACGAGTCCTGAAAGGAATAACTATGTTAAAAAGGTAATCGTGATTGTTATTGTTGTGTACATTTCCGCGTTGTTAGTATGTTCTATTTAAGTGGACTGGGATTAGACTAAGAAAATGAGGATATTCTAATTTTTTATATTATCTATCTCAATAAACCATTTCATATATGTTTTGTGTTTGATTTTGTACTATTTTTGAATAAATGCAACTATTCTAAACATAGGGATAATCCAAAAAATATTTTTTGAATAAGAAAGCATAGGAAAAAGGATTAGGGAGGGGAAAGTGACTAGTCTTCAGCCAAAATACCTGATACTAAACGCCTCTACATTTTGCACATACATGGCTAATTATATTGAATTGATGGCTGGGATTTAAGTAGGAATTTCTGTGTCAAATAATCAAACTGATTTTTTAAAACGATAATTTATTTAACCGCAAATATATTAGTATATGTACAATCGACGTCAACAAAATGCAAAAGGAGAGCAGGTATACAGTAAACCAACTGATTACCAACAGCTACGGCCGTGAAAACCAAAGTTGGTGGACTTGATTATAAATAAACAAAAAAAAAACACATAGCTTCTCAAAAATACCTACAAAACTACAAAATTATACTTGTATCTTAAGCTAAGTGTAGCTTCCAACAAGTACACTACATTATCATAAATCTCTATGAAAAGAACACCTAACCTTAAAAAATACTGAATTTCAAACTAAAAAATCAAAACTGTTTAGATCACTACTTATTACTTAATATTATTTACATTAAGTCAGGAATATTGAAATGCTCATTATAACTAATTTGCTCAAAGATTGTCAATGCACTATCATTGTCACTGTAGATCAAAGCTGATACATTTGTGGTATGAAAATAGTTTTTACTTTCTAAACATTTAAGTGATAACAACTTTAAAGAGCAAAAGCTAACTCGTAACAAGCTCTAGATTTCTAGTAGATAACAATTATCAAAGGTAAATTGAGGATGGAACTGTTGAATGAAGACATGAAAATCTTTGTCAAATTCGTAACCAGACTACAACCAGCGGACGGAGCTTCCATACAACCAAAATACATTTGAGAGTTTAATGACAGAATAAATATGACAGTCAATTTATTATTTATTTCATGTGTACATCTTTCCCACAAGACATTGAGTACTTTAAAACTTTAGTTTTTCACAATAATTGTTTTTTATTAATATGCACAAATGCATTAACAAGTTTATTTCGGTCATCGTACACGTAACTTTGTTTACCTTCATACAAGTCAAATTCAATCGTCATTGTTTCTGAATGTATGGATGTTCCGCCACTTTTACACAATTTGAACTACATCTTCACTAAGGCAAACACGCAACATTATACTTCTACTTTCTTATTTTACATAGGTATTATACAAATAATCTACAATAACTATATTTATTATAACAGTCGATTATACGTAACATATTTATTGCAATTTCCATCAGAATATTGTGGTTTGTATATTTTAGCGGTTTAATTCGTATATTGTATTAAGGCTGCAGTAACGGATATCACTTTAAAAGGCACAATTTAAGCAGTCTTAAAGCACATGGTTAAAATACAAATTAATGTAATCATTCAAAGTTGAATAGTTCTCTTCATAAATATGTCTTCAACATTACACAGAAATGCACCGGGCAGTATTACAATGAGCATCCTGACCATTCAGAAATCATTAGAAATATAATTATAGAATTAAAAATGAACGAGCCAATTTGTGATCTAAAATTAACTTACGTATCCTAAAGCAACATTATTGCAAATTATAGATGATTTTAGATAAAAGCCGCGAGGAAGAATTTCTTCAAACCTTACAATAAAGATCATAGCAGCATCTGAATTTAAGCTAATAAAATTAAAACTGAAACAAGTTGACGTGTAAAATAAGTATATTTTGTTACAGGTCGTGTCAAAACACAACTAACATTACCAGTCGTAAAAATCATTAAATAATTTAAACATTATCCAGTTGGTGTTTGAACGGAGGAACGTAAGACAGTGACAACTCACATTGGAAACTGCGTTTCTTAAGATAGTGGAGAATGCGCCCGCGCTCACGAGTCCGCCGGCACGTCCCACTCCGCCAGCCCGCGCTCCACCAGCTCGCGGTTCAGGAATATTACTTGCTGCATTGACACATTCCACATCATTACACGCTCAAAGTCTACTCTCATCATGGCCACTCGTAACTCATTATACTTAAAATTGCAATTCTTAAAAAGATCCATTGTCTATCAATTTGAGTATTAATGTATATTTTTAGCTATGGCGACATTATCAAAAAGAAAAACTAGAACAAATGAACTGTTGAAAAAATTACAATGAGAGATATTTAGTTGAAGGATGAGAAAGATGACATTAGCAAGACATGAGTGAAGTGAGATGAGTGACAGACAATATTGGAATATACACCTGCAGGTTGACTGTAAGGTGAAGGTTCATTAATTGGAAATATATACTTATGGTAATCTTATGCACTCCATTGTAATGGACCATTTTACTCAATTACTCAATCATATTGCATTATAGGTAGATACATTTGTAGGGCGAGTGTATGGAGGTTCACTAAGGGAAGTCATACCTGTGGGTTGAGTGTAAGGTAGAGATGCACGAGCGGCAGGCCGGCCTCGTCGTAGCCGGCGACCTGCGCGTGCAGCAGCTGGCCCGCCGTCAGGCCCGCCATTATGCGCAGCGCCTCGCTGCTCCAATCCTCCTCTGCACATTTTTATTATGTATGTGTTAACAAACAAAAAATAAATCTGTTAAGAGAACCAAAAACATATCTGTTAAGAGAGCCTTATTATGGTTTGCTCAGGAATAGCCCATAAACAGAATAATATAAGGATTTAAATTTTGGGTACTTCAGAACTTGATTTTCTGTATTATTTGAAATGTGTTTAATTTTATGGACGAAAAATTAAGAAATTAGGAATACGGGTTTTTTATTTAACATATTAATAAAGGTAATCAAAAATTATCGCAATATGAAATTTAAACTGATCGTAAACATCACGCTTTTGGAATAAAAGTAGTATGAGACCATTCTCAGTATCACGAAGTTTTTTTATTATTGGATCGGCAATTAAATTTGTTAAAAACAAATGATTCATACACAACATTTTCTGGTATCTCTAAAAACCGACATTTTTTGTAAGGTAAACGAAACTTGTGTAAACATAAATCATGTTAAGATAAGATAAATTTAAATCATTTGATACCTTCTTGAAACTAGGTTATATAAAAACAACAGACAGTAACATAGACAGTTGTTAGAAACAAAACTCAACTTTATTTCAAGTCCACCAAGTGCACTTAGGGACCTTCAAGAAAAGAGTGTACACCTTTTGATAGCTGGTGCAAGAGATCTGTTATTCCTGTTACATTGCAGATGTCTCTAATAGTTGGATTATTTTGACTATTCAACTTGCTGTTCTTTGTCCTTTTTTCTTACTTCTTACTAATGTATAAATGCCAATTAATAGGTATAATATGTATTAGAAGGAAAGGTATGATATACATAGGAACAAACTCTGGAGGAACGTCTGCCTACTTATTAAGTTTTTTATAATTATATAAAGTTGTGGACAAAAGCTGATAAAATATAAATGAATACTAACCATTGTTGGCGGGTTTGACAAATGCTAAAAGGGCTTCTGTAGCCTGGAAAGGCAGAGTCATGAAGTCTGAACGTATCTGCTTGAGCTGGTCATTGTCAACGGTGAGGTAACCTCCAAAGTCGACCAGCTTCACCACAGACGTGTCGTTTTCCTCCGACGTAGATATAACTTGTGCGCGGTACCAGTTGTTCTCTGTGGGCGCTGCGCAGATCGACCCCTCTGCAGATATTATAAACCTTACTTAATCATATACATTTAATTTAAATATACAAAACAATTACAATATTTACAATTTATTAGATACTCTATAGACTTATTTATATAACTACTGCGAAGTACATTTGTATTTGTCGAATATAACATCCTCTTCACAAAACAAAAATTATTGCTATCTTCAAATATTACTATTTAGGAATAAAATGCATAATACTAATCAATTGCACTTTTTTTTAAATTAGGTGTCTGTGTGAATAAATATTTTCAATGTGTTAATAAATTTATTTAGTAAATAAAAACATGTGATAAACCTATTACATTTTATTTTTCAAAACAAAAATTATAATAAATTTATATTGAAATTTATCCACTATTTTGTTTAATTAAATTTTAAAACACTGTAATAAACAAAAAATAAAGTTGAAAGAACATGAAAAGACAAAAATCTCGTAAAACTTGCAATATTTCGACAATGCAAATATATGCATAGGAATGTTAACACGTTTACATAATGGTAAGATTTAAAGCGTTCTCAAATGTCAAGGGCAGAGTGCGGTAATGTGTGGCAATGTGTGGCAGGGTGGGGTGGGGTACCTTTCACCGGGCGCGGCAGGGAGGGCACGTCCGGGTTCTGGTACGTGGCGGCCATGAGACGGTGCAGCGCGTGCAGCGACGGGAAGGTGGGGTGCAGCGGCTGCTGCAGGAAGAAGTGTCCCGCGCTCACCAGGCACGTCATTATGGTGTCATTGTTCACAGATTCCACAAGCTGCAACTGTTAAATTAATATTTTTAGTAATTCTTATAATTGCTTAATGACGTTTGAACAGAAAATAAATAAAGTGTATGTTAAAAAATATTTTCATTCTAAAGATGGTTATTTTAAATTTTCTGCACCTATGGAGTATACATATTTACAGTTTAATAAATAAAAAAAAATATAGTAATTGATGTTTTAATTATTTTTTTCAGGAATTCAAAAATTCAAAAAGCTAAAAACTTTGTTTTATGTCAAGACACTAAAAATGACAGATTAATATTTTATTTAATAACTGACATTTATATTAAACAAAAAAAAAAAAAGTTATCAAAACATTGTCAATACTTAAAACGGCAAATATTAAGTTTTCTTACCTTATACTAAAGTGCCAAGACAGACATGCATACAAAAGAGTGTGTATACATAATTTGTATATACTGGATTGTTTCCTTATATACTGTATTATTTTAGATTTTTGATATATGTAGTATGAAACAACTGAATTTTCATTGACAAGTCTTACTAATTTAATATTCTAAGTAACTTTTGGCAATATGCTTATATAATATAACTTACTTGAAGAAATTCTGGTATAAAAGGTGCTAGTCTTTGATATAGTTCTGCACTAATTTCTTGAATTGAAAAATTGGGGAATCTCTTTTCTGGGAATTTTTCTTTTATCATATCTATAGCTGCCTCAATTTCATTTTGAGTCCCTGAAATACAATAAAAGACAATATAGAGGAGATACATTTTAAATCTAATAAAAATAACCTTAAAACACTTGTTACCTTCTACTGCACAAATTTTCTGTTTAACAGAATCTGGATGTCTTCTTACATAAACACTTGCGCCAGTTTTAGCTTTAATTTGGTTAACAAATGATCCGTGTTTGCCTATTAATAGACCAACAAGGGTCTGAGGAATTATAAACTGATGTATTCTAAGGCCAGAATCCGAAGGAACCATATTTAAATTGGCCGGGGGTGGACTAGCTGCTTCTGAACATCCTTTACCACTATCACTTGATCCCTAAAAATACAAAATTATAATGACACAATAGAAATAAAAATTAGTATATTGTTTTAATTAAGAATTTATTACAAACCTCGCTGTGACTATCTGAAAAATGACACATTGAAGGACTAGCTAACAAAGGATCTACGGGACTATGATTTGCCGAATCCCTCTCTGAAATTCTTCTAGTCTGTGATGAGTAAGTATTATTGCTTTCATTACTTTCACTAGGTTCATTAATATTATTATCATTTAAATTATTGTTAATATTAAGATCATCATGGTCATTGACCATATCTCCATCTTCAGTGGAAATATCTTCAGTTTTGTTATTATCAAAATTTGTACTATCTTGATGCAAAAGTTCTGTCACAGACTCATCTTCTGAATGTTGTTTTTCTATGATGTTAACATCAGGAACACTGACTTTTGAGTCCAGTGTCATATCACCTTTGTTGCAAGACATTTCTGTTTGTAGTGGTGAAAATGTATGTGCTATAGATTCTTTCACTGCAACAGGGGTATGATTCAAATTTGAAGAAACATATGAACTGTTATTAATATACTGTTTCCCTACTTCCACTGATAATTTCTTATCTTTTTCAAGAGATTTCTTTCTTATTATCTTCTCTATTTCTAAGTCAACCTCTTCATCGGTCAGTTCAAAAGAAGATCTTTGTGATCCGCTACCTTTTGGGATTATGTCTATTGGAGCAGATTTAATTATTGATCGTTCAGCCTTACCCAGAGGAGATGTCCTGTTCAATTCAGCCTGAGCATTTAACACTTCTGCTAATTCCTCTTTTAAACTTTTTATTCTTTCTCTTCCTCCTGGGTCAGATTTGGCATATTCTCTCTTTTTCTTGAACCAAAATATGCCAATTAACACTGCTATTGATGGCACTGACCACATAAGCAGCTGACGACAAGGTGCCATTGTATCGAGCCACTTTTACCAGAAACCTAAATGGAAATTAAAAAGAAATTACAAAATTATGTCAAATATTACCCATCTCCCAATATTTATTGAAAGCATGTGATAATAATTATATCGTAACTTTAATTACAAAAATAATATTCTAAACTTTTCAAAACACTCACGAACTTTAAAAACATCTACTTCTAAATAAAAAACATCTACTACTCAATATTTTAAAGTAGTATAATACTAAAAACAATCTGCGATTCAAAAAAAATTGAGGTTAGGAAATCGGCATTTTAGAAAGTGGATTTGAAACAAAAAATAAAAACCGACTAATAAATAACTTAAACCAAAATACAAACACAAATTGTTCTAAATTAATTAATCACTGTTTTAGGCTTTTAGGAAAGTCCCACTTACTACAATAACAAAAGTCACATGTTTTTTGTGAACATACAAAATTAGGTTAATGTAGTTTATCAATAACAAAAATAGAACTAGGAAGATAAGATTATTTTATAGAATAAAGTAACAAAAAAATAACCATTTTTAACCGCTACGAATAAAAATTATGAAAGTTAAGAAACAACTTGCACGTTTCAGGTGTGGACTAATTAAATCTACAATCGCTACAATCACGATTAGTGCTTGACAGTTATAAGACACGTACACAGCACTTTCTCAAAGCCAATAAGCGTAATGGAAACCATGTGCTTTTGGTCTTTTCAACGTGTACGTAATATGTTGTCCGGCGAGGGTCACGAGCTGTAAAAACCTTCACGGACAACACGTAAGCGCACACGAAATTGTAAAATGAAAAGTTACGCAATTTTAGGAATGTCAATTCAGACTAGAATAAGCTGTCAAAAAAGTATTGTCTAATTAGATCACCTATTTACTTAAAAGTAACTAAATCACAACCAAAAAAATATTTGATGTAGAGGTTGGACCCGTGATCTGAATCTTAACCAGAAAGATTAGTTGCCGGTAGACACGTTTACTATAAACTTACGTTGGTATCCAAATAAAAACGATTGCACTATAAAACGCCGAATTAATAACAAAGCAAATGACTTCACCAAATGGTATTATTAACTAAAAAATTTAGCCCAAAATTAAAATCTAACAATCCACGTGCTCACAATGTTTTCGACCGAAGCACAACAAAATCCAATATGGCGACTACTAAGGTACAAGTTGGCAACATTCTAAAGCACAGAAAAAAACGATTGCCCTCCTTTTCGCATGGAACCACAGATACACTAAAAATAATTAACTGAATTTAATACTTTTTCTGATTGAGACCAATCAAAACTACTGCTTTAATGTAAAACAGGCATAAAATCCATGTCCATGTGTAAGTGCGCAAGAAGATAATGGATGAAAGTCCATGAGTACATGGTAAAGATGCTTCATATTAAGAAAACAAAACCAATAATTATGTTATTCATTATTAAATACTGAAATAGTCATACTTTAAGACAATAAATTATTTCAGTCCTCCGAGATCATACGGTTTGAAACTGTAGTTGATCACATTTGTGTTGATAATGCCACTTTATTTTAATACTTACAATTAACTTCGTTTGATCCATAATTATGAGGAATTTCTTTTTGAGTGTTCTTTATTTAATAGATAGACCACTTATTTTTTATTCAATCAGTTAAATCTTCAAAATAAAACAATACTATTTGCTAAAGTTGTTGGTGTGTGTAGCCATTTGAACTTTGCATTTACAATTATATAAATCTTTTGCTAGACCTTGGCTATCGACCAACAAAATATATTCATTCCTTATCGTAACAAAAGCAATTATATCTAGAGACACTAAAAGTGTGTTGGCAGCTCAGGTGTTAACACTTTACTTGTATTCTGCAGGACCTGGGTTCAAATCCCGTTACATATCAATGTGTTGTCCGATTTTAGAATTTCACTTACATTTTCTCGGCGTTCTTACGGCAAAAGAAAATATTGCGATGCAACCTGCACGTGAAAAATGCTGAGATTTGTGTGAAGTCAAACAACCCTCAGTGTAAGCACTTGACTTGTAATCTTGGGTGTGATTTGCGAATTTCATATGTACATAATTTACCCGACGTTCTTACGGTGAAGGAAAACATCGTGATGCAAACTGTACACATTGGAGAAGAAATTCAGATATATGTGAAGTCAACCAACACGCAGTGGCCAGCGTGGTTGACTATGACCTAGTCACCCCTTACTTACGGTAGGCTCCGAATGCCTCAGGGACATATGTCCAATCCATATGGATTGATTAAGGCCTTAAGACTCCTAACTTAGAGTAGGCTCCGAACTTCTCATCGGATTAGTGTGATAAGATGGGAACTGTTTTTCGAAATTAGTATAGGTGTAAATCTTGGACTGTGCCATTCTTCGTAACTAGCGCATTTTTAGCACATAACCAAACACAGTCGTCTAATCGGCAACTGACATGTAAATTTTCTCCAAAAGGCCTGCCTCCAATCACAATTGATGAACATTTTCGAGGTATCACGGCATCTCAATCATAACTAATTTGTGAATTAGTAAAATTAGTGCTATTTGCTACAACTGGGCAAATTTCAAAGAGACAACAGTTACGATCGTTCAGTAACAAATGTAGAAATGAGATAAAGCTTATTGAGTTTGTTAGAGGCTCTTTACCATTAAATACCTGTTTACAAGATCTAACCATAAACAAAATTGCTTTTTATCTACCCTTCTTCAGAAATGACTTCACTCTCATAAACATCAGCTTACTTTTAGAATACTAATAATTTGATGTTGTATGCAGCATATATTTTACCCTTTTATTCTATTACATTAAATACAGAGATTGGATTACATTTTTACTTTCAGATATGTCTATAAAATTGTTAAGTATCCAATAAAGTTATAAATAATTGTTGTATAGATTAGTTTTTCAAATTTATTAAAAACTTACATTACATAAATATTATATACAAAAAAAAAAACATATAGACAAACTGAGTACCTCCTTCTTTTGGGAAGTTGGTCAAAAAGGGATATTGGTAGAAATGAAAAAAGTAATACAATAGTAGTGGCGGAAATTGAGCTGCTTTGTTTGATTGTCAGCAAAGTTTTCTTAGAAACCAAGCTAGATTTGATCATACATATCAATTGAACATGTATGCACCATACAGGACCTATTCAGTTGTTTCTCAATAGTCGCTAATCAGCCCAGAATGACATCTCTGAAATTAAAATATGTATAAAAATTAATTAAATATCCATAACACAAGAGAAATAAATAATTATTAATATGTAGCTAATAACCTTTTAATAGACCATCTAATTCTCCTTTTCAGCACTAAATTATCACTGAGTTATAACTAAATATCAAACGACTATCACTCACATCTATTTTCCAGTAGCGGAATGTCTCACAAATGTTTAAACAATTTAATTATTGATTTTTTTACTTTTTTAACAGATACTGTAAAGTGCATGTGAGAATTTAAACTAAGTTAACAGGTAGTCTGCAAGAAAAATATCTGTCCAAGTGGCAACATCACCTTATGAATAACTTACATTAAAAAGTATCAAAGAGAAGTATGTTCCATTTATCCAACAAATGTGGTTTTAATTTTAACTTAATGCCATCATTTAATAATAAATATGGATACGGGAAAAAGGATTTAACAAAGGGTTAGATGACTAAAAGTTATCATATTCAAAACACATTTTTATAGAAGCCCAAAGGACCAATAAACCATCCCTTAGTTTGCTTTATGTTTGTGAAATTAATTTGTAAACACATATCTGCTTAAACTTATTATAAATTAAAAGTATCATAAAAGGGCACAATGGAGTTGCACATATACTGGAATTTTTAAAAAGTGTTACATTAAAACAAATACAAACACAAGAATCAAGTTGGCCACTACTGGTGGAGCTTCATTTTGAACATGTCACTGTCCTAAAGAAAAGCACTTTACAAGGGTATGTTATGTACAATGCACTCATACACCTAATAAATAACCCAAAATAAAAAGATCAGAAAAGTAAAAAATACTGTATTGCTTTTAAAAATAAAACAAACAGGTTTTTTACTATAATTTAATTATATACATTCCTTATTTTTATATTCTTTAAAGATGATCCATAAGAAATTTAAGGAATGTTGTGCTTGGTTTCCTTTGTATATCTATTGTGATAGGTGTCCGAGATTAGTAGTCTTTAAAATAAATGATACTAGAAATCTTAGATATGTTATTGAATCATCTAAGTTTGAATATAGCGCTTGTCCCATAAAACTAGACAATTTGCTAATATGCGTAACACAATAATTTTGTGAACAAGACTTATAGGCAATTTATTTTAATAACAGAAAATAAATTTACATAAACTTACGGTAGATGTATACATAAGAATGGTATTATATAGCATCTACTGCATCAGCTTCATCTTCTGAACTGACTTCGTCTCCAAATTCAATGTCCTCGTCCAGACCGTCAACAGAATAGACAACAGTCTCATTGATGCGTACTGTTTCTGGGAACTCTCCATACGTTTTAAGATTTCTTGCCTCATCGGGAGTATATTTCAGGATGACATCTGCTTTGGCATCTTGATAATCTCGTAGACCGATTAGTATAATATCTCCTTGGTTTATCCATACCTTTTTTCTTAATTTCCCTCGAATATGACATAGACGTTTTATGCCATCAAAGCACATGGCCTCCAAGCGGCCATTACCGAGCATCTTTGTGACTTGGGCGTACTCTTGTCCGTCTTCTTTGAAGACCAACTCGCGTTTTTCAGTTTCGTTTTCATTCTTCCCCCTCCTTCTGTTTTTACCTCCTTTTCCTTTATTTTTCGGCATTGTTTAGATTATCTTGAGTAAAAACATATACAATTATAATTACGGAAATCTAATAAATTTGCTATGTTGATTGACAGAAGCGCTTGACTTGACAATCAGTCGTGTCGCGCAACCATAGAGTAATTTTAACCAAAGAGTATAGTCAAAACGGCACAGACTAAAAATTTTGCAAAAGATTATGAAAGAATTTATGCAACATGATATGTGATAATCTTACTAATATGATAAATGCGAAAAGTTTAGATAGATGTACGGATGGATGTTAGACCATATCGCCTTAACGGCTAAATTTTGATGAAGTACGAATTAGAATACCAACAAATTTGAATTTTCTAATTTCTGGGAGTTACGACAAAGAAATGGGGAAACGTGCAAAAAGTATGATATGTATGAAAAATTTATAAAACCAGTCAATAATTCTCTTAACAAAAATATACAAACGAACAGTAGTCAGACTCTTCTACGCATTTCAGTATACATAACTACAAGTAAATTCTGAAAACCTACGATTATTTTTTTAGGTAAAGCATAGCTAGTAAATAAAGTTGAAGGAAAGATGGTAATGACGATATCATTCAGCTTGGTGTCGCAGGCAGTAGGGCCACTTGAAGATACGAGAGGTCTGAGGGCCCGTCTCTGATGTAGCGTTCGCTCGCACTAATTACAGCGGCGTAGTGTCTGTGCCTGTTACATAGGTAAAAACCATGCTTTTTATGCATACGAGTTGCAATACGGATCAACCAATATATTCATTTACACTTACTTTTCATAAAGAGGAAATATTTGTATTTTTGTATGTATTAAAGTAACTCATAAACTACAGCGACGACTTTTAAAATTCTTTCACTGTTAGAAAGGCAATTTATCGGTGAGTAACATAGGCTATATTTTTATTATTTCTTAATTTCACGTGGACGAAGTCGCGAGCAACAGCTAGTTATAATCATAAAGAAAACTGCTAAAATTAGCAAGTTATCAAATTAAAGGTCACATTAACAAATAGAAGTGTTGTGTATTCAATGAGAAAATCATGAATAAATCATTACTGTCTTGATTAAATGAATAACACTATCTAAATCATACTTACATAAAATCTGTATTCGTAATATTATCGATAAAATTCCTAAACCTTGAAAATAATTTTGCTTGAAGTTACAATTTTTGTGATTTCGTATGTTGTTTGATTACAGTTATATCAAGTTTTAGAATTTCATTAATATTTAAAGAATTATCAGATTATATGTATTCATAAAAGTAATAAATTCAAAACCTATGTCTAAAATTGGTGGTATACAGTTTAAAACTAAAAGTCGTTCAACTAAGCGCCTGCATAAAGTTATTGGCA